CGTTCATCCAGCATAGATAGCAAGTATTTAGATAATATGCACACATAGCACGTAGTTTATATAAAATACTTCATATCTATGTGTAAGATGAAATGGACTATGCACTCACTTGAGTAGGTGGTGACTCAGCACTCGGACAATGCTTCGATACTCTCAAAACGATGTTCCTTCGATAAAACCTAGTATCGATACCACTAGGGTTTAGTCTAATGATAACCGCGACAAATTAATTGTCTGACTATTATTATTATTATATAAGTGTTAATAACACTCAATATAACTCATAATAATAGCCCAAATAATTATTTTAAGGACCTAATAACATTCCTATAACTATTTGAAAGCTATATTAAAAATTGCGTAAGAGTAGCAAACTTACAACGAATTTTATCGAAAACCGGAACTTAATTGGAGCAGCGTTTCGAAACCGAAAAACTCCTTTTTCTCGGGACTCCGGGAGCCTCGGGGCTTCCCTAGGGTGCTAAGGGGTTTTTTCTAGGGTTTAGGGGGGTTTAGATGAGCTAGAAAGAGAAACTAGTGAGAGAAAGAAGTGGATTTGGAGTGAAGAACAATGGCAGCCCTCGCACCAGGTGTCACCATCCAAAGCGATTTCATCCGACGGCTGGAAGTTCGGCCACATCATCATTTCATGCATCAGTTTCGCAAGTTCACTTTCCAACTTTAAAAATTCGTAACTTTCGCGTATGAGCTCCGTTTTCGACGTTATTTATATCCACGCGAAGGTGGGAACGTAATCCACAACTTTCGTTTAGACTTCGTTGGTTGATTTTGACTCGATTTTAAATTTTATATTATTAACGGGCTGGGACAGGATTGGTCCGTTAAATCCTCATAACTTCTTCATCCGACATCCGTTTTTGCCCATCTTTTTCTCGTTACGCTACTCTTAACGAGATCTTCGATTCTCGTTTAGGTCATGTCGGCTAAAAACCGCTCGATCAAATATTCGAATTTCGGGTTGTACACTGCTAGTCCGAAACTTCAAAAAATCATAACTTCTTCATACGAAGTCAGATTTGGGCGTTCTTTTTATCGATGTTCTTAGTTTAACATATTCTATGACTTTCGTTTAAATTGTTAAGGCTAAATCTCGCTCTATCGTAAATTCATTATTTACGCTTTCCGGTATCGTGTCGGTTCTGACGCGAAACTTCGACGGGTCATAACTTCTTCGTTATAACTCGGATTTCGGCGTTCTTTATATGCACAAAAACCTTGTAACATAATCTAGAACTTGGTTAAGATTATTTATTATAAATAATCTTTTATCATAAAGTCGTTTTCGACCCCTATTGCCTGTAATTTGACTAGCCCGGATCTACGGGCGTTACAACATACACATATTAAAGAAAATATTGGATTTTTTGGATACATATTCAAACGCGTTTACAAGGAAAATGGTTCACTTCTATAAATCTCTTATGAACTCACCAACCTTTGTGTTGACACTTTTTCAAACAACTTGTATTCTCAGGAAATCACTAAACAGGAAATCAAGTGCATTTTGAGGATGAGACGTTAAGGCGTCAAACATTTCATATTTTGTCAACATATTGTAATTGATTTTGAAACATGTAATTCATACAATGATGTAACTTTTTCAATTATATATATGTTGGTTGTGTTTGCTTAAATCACTATTGCATTTGTTGTTATGATACTACACATGAAGTCCTCCACCCCCGGACGTTTCCGCCATCCTTGGTTTGGGGGTGTGACAACACTCACTTGATTTGATGATAATCGGGCAACAATTCGTTTCCTAAAACGATCGTTTCTAATAAAACCGAGAGTTTTATTGAGAAACCGGGTTTTGCAAAAGTCGAGCTTTGAAACCGAAAAGATAATTTCGGGATTCTCAGGCACTTCGTGGCATATTCCGGGGCTTTGGGGGATGTTAATATGAAGAAAATATGGGAAAAGGGGTTAAAAGTGGCCAATTTCCAAATTTACCCGGGAGGTCTCGCATGGCTGCTATTTATAGGGGAGGAGGACCGAAGGCTCAGATCCGAACCGAGGAGGGGATGGCACGCGTCTGCGAGGCTCGGACCAGGTGGCTGCTTTGGCGAGGCTCGGATTGGTCAGCTGGGAGCTTCGGATTGGTCAGTAGCCTCGGTCCAATGGGAAGAGTCCACATATGCGAAAGGGGTATCCGAGGGGTGTCTCCGGGGCATCTCATGCGAAGCTGTTGGCTTTTAAGTGGACCTCGGCTGCGGTCCAATCAGGAGGTGCCACACATGGATTCGGTGCACTCAGCAGCTGCCACGTGCGAGGGTGACGTGGCATGCGAAATTGCCCGGTTTTTCCCATTTTTTCTTTATTTTTGTTCCAAACTTGCGAAAATCATAACTTTCGCATACGGGCTCTGTTTTTGACGTTCTTTATATGCATACGTAGCTAAAATTACGCTCTACAACTTTCTTTTAGACTTCGTCGATTTTTATATTATTATTTTTAATAGATCGGAACAGAAAATCCGTTAAAAATTCATAACTTCTTCATCCGACGCCCGTTTTCGTCAGACTTTTTACCGTTATGCTACTAATGACAATACCTTCAATTCTCGTTTAAGTTGTGTCGTCTAAAAATCGCTCTAAAAATTCGAGTTTTTTAGTTGTCTACTGCTAAGCTGAAACTTTGAAAAATCATAACTTCCTCATACGAAGTCAGATTTGGCATTCTTTTTATCGAATTTCTCGGTTTAACGAATACTACGAATTTCATTTAGATCACTAAGGCTAAAAAGTAGTTTATTAAAAACTCACTTTTTACGACATTCAGCACTGTGCCGGTTTTGTCGCGAAACTTCGTCATGTCATAACTTCTTCGTTATAACTCGGATTTTGGTATTCTTTATATCCCCGAAATCCTTGTTTCGACCACTACAACTTTATGTAAAGATATCGGGCTTATCTCACACTTTAATTTTGATGCTTATTTTTATTCTTAATTAATTAAGCCCTAATAATTAAACATAAAATACATAATTCACGTAATATTCACATAATTCCTTTTTATTTCTTCAAAATGAGTTAGAAATGTTAACCTAGACTATCACCTCAATATAAATTCCTAGGCTAGAAACACGAGTGTTACATCCTCCAATACTTGTAGAGTTTCGCTAACGAGATTACATAAAGAGAAAATAAATCATGAGAGAGAGAGAGAGAGTTTCTTAATAGAAAATGTTGTAAAGAGGGAGTGAGGGTGACCCTCTATTTATAGTGATTTTTACAGGCCTATTCATGACACTATTCATGACACTATTCATGCCGACATCCGTAGATATTGGTAGGCGGGCGAGCATGGTGTTGGTTTGGAATATGCTATTTTCTTGTTATTTTCAGATAATTGTAATTTTCTCATACGAACTCCGATTTCGACGTTTTTTATATCCACACGTTCGTCTTGATGTCTACTACAAATTTCATGTTTATCACTTTGGCTAAAAAGCAATTTATCGCCACTTTCATTTTTAAACACAAAGTTACAAAGGTTTAAATTTGTTTATATCTTTTACAAGTGAAAAACGGGTGTTACAAATCTTAAAATGTAATTTTTTCAAACGAAGTTAATTAATAACAAATGAGATATCCAACATATATTTTGTAGCTGAAATAAATAACAACCCCACCCCACCTCTATTTACCCACCACATTCTTACTTTCGATTCTCCATTTTCTTCTGGCACTAACCTTTTACCGACCACCATCTTTTGAACGTTGCCGCCGTCACCATATATCCTTATCTCTTATTGTTGTTAGCCACCATCTCTTGAACAACGTCGACCAACACATTTTAAATCATGTCGACCACCATCTCATCCTTTTTTACTGTCATTGCTAGCCACCATTTCTTGAATGATGTCATCGATCGCTATCTACATCTCTTTTCCCTGTATAAAGATCAATCTATTTGGATTTACAAACTAACAAAATGCAAAACTTGATTTGACCAGAAATCCATCCTTTTTTGAAATCAGATTAATAAGACTGATAAAATAAAAGAAAATTCAGACTTTTTTCCTGGTTTATTCCTACCAAGAAAGAAAGAGAACCAATCTTGAAAATATGGGTTGATTTTATTTCTATTTGATGAAATGTCTAACAAGGTCCATGGTTACTTAAATGCTCTTTATGTATTATAAATGTTGAGTTTTGGATCATTAAACTCATGAGAGTAGGAATATAGAAAAAAGAAATAGTCGTGAATACTATAACATAGATGTAGATGAAAAATGGTGGGGTGGGGTGGGGGTGGACGGTAGTCATGGAAGAAGCTAGAGAAAAATGGATGGTATAGGGATGGATGATATTGTTGACGGTGGTAAGCCTTCTATGGTTTATAATTATATAAGGACTAATATTGATTTTAATTAAAAAAATAATAAAAAAAAAGATATAAAAGTCTGTTTATATGATTTAAGGAACAACCATGTAAGATTTTGAAATGAAAAAAATCATCCAAAATTATAAATGAAAATAAAAAATCTGAAAAATCATACGGACCATTTATATAAATCTTTCTAATTTTTTCTATTAATTTATTATGATTATTATTACTTTCTCGTCGTATATTTATTGTCTATTTTTGATTTTTAAAGTTTTTATTTTTCACATTTGACTTTAAATATTTTTATTTTTAAAGTTTTTATTTTTGTTATAACAATGAAAACAAATACAATCCATTCATATAATTTGCATCAAAATCATATACCAAAATTAAAAATATTTAATGACAAAATTAAAAAATAAAGACTTTAAAAATAAAAAAAATAAAAAAAAATATGAAACGAATTTTTTTTTTTTTTGTTATGATTACCAACCCTGTCATAGCTTTAAACGCCTATAGCAAACGCAACCTAAGTAATTCACATATTCGGAATTCCATTTATTTAATTATTTGAGAGTGACATTTTTATTCGGATTTGACGCTAGTGACGGAATAGTAGAGGGTTGTAAATGAAAACTAGATAAAGTATGGGGATGATACTGAAACATTATTTATTTACAACTTCATTCTCCAAGATCCAGCGTCGGATCAGTTTTCATCTCCACATCTGCAACTTTCCCTTCCCCCGAGCTCAGCTAGCAGCAATGGCTTCCCTGCTCAAACGTGACACCTTTGCTGTCCTTCGTTCTCATCATCCTCAGGTATCAATCCCTCTCTATTTATATATTTTCCACTTGATTCGGCCTATAAGTTTCTCATTTGTTCCATGCGTTTGTTCGTCGATTGATGCGTGTAGTTTCAAAATAATTTTGATTTGATTTAGGCGGCGGAGGTTTCGCAGTTGCAATCTAGACGTCAACTTCATGTCGAACCTGGGGCTCGCGAGAAAGCCGTAAGTGTTTGCTTGATCTCCTTTTGGTGTTGATTTGTATCGATAGCTGTTGGCATAGGATTGCATGTGTATATGGATAGGTCGAAAACGAAGCTAGATATTTTAATTGATGTCTTATTTGTCGAGATTTTCTTTTGTTTGAATTTCCATTTCTCAGGCTACTCTGTAAGAATAAACCCTAATTTAGTTCATGATTTTCTAATGTATTTCCACTCTTGCCTACTTGAAAGCCCCGGTTCTAATTTCAAATCGAAGTGATTAGACAGTTAGTTTTGGCGTATTTTATGCAATTGTTTGGCATGATTGTGTAATACTTGCTTGCCTGTGATAACCTATAATGCTTTAACATATCATCCTTTGAGACATGGATCTTCATGAGCACTACATCTCCCTTCCTATCTGTAACTGTAACTCTGTAAGTTATTATGTAATGTGTACCATGAGTGGCATCATAAGTCCTGATATAATGGATATTCTTTTTCTTCTCTAATCTTTCTACAAACCATATTATGGACTATGACTGCAAGAATTTCATGCCATTTCTTTTGGCATTAACTACTCTTTTAATTTCCAAATATTCAAAATTATTTATCCACAACATTTGCTTATATGGGACTGACAGCTGACTTCCATTGATTTCTAGCAAGCCTTAGTTTGTGTAACCTTAACATTGGCAATCAACATTTGATTGTTTATTAAACCTGATGTTTTGTGTTTATTCATAACCAAAACATTCAAGGAAGTTATTCTATTGTTCTTTTTTTCCCTTATCAATTTCTTCTTTGTAGTGCATATTCAAGAAGCAGATGCTTTTTATATGTTTTTATATGTAGCAAAGATTAATGTCTGTATGTCTACGTCAAGCATTACATCCAATTATGTAAACTCAACTTGTGAAAATGTGTACTTTTTGCAGCTTTTGGCAAAGGATCCAGCATTAGAGCGCTTCAAATCATATAGAAAAGGTGCCTCACGCATCAGAAGAATTGGAGATTACCTCACTATTGCAGTTGTAGCTGGTATGTTAAAATCCAAAATTGAAAAAGAATCAAATTTTTTTTAAGTGGTTTTGATTATTTTAGCCTACATGGAATTGTTTAGTTAAGTTCACAGATGTAAAGTTGTTCTAAAGAAAATAAATTTCAAGCAACATGACAGATCATAATAAGGATTTTGTAGCAACATGTTGGAGAAAGACTCACACTCAATCTCTTATCTATTGCAAAAGACCTGAATGCCCTCTTCATTCTCATCATCCAAAATAACCTTAAATTTGTTGCAGGATGTTGCTATGAGATTTATGTGAGAGCTGTGACACGAGAAGAAGCTCGGAAAGCAGCTTCTGGAAGTGCTTGATTTGATGTTGATGGTGATCATTACTTGTTCCTTGAAGCATGAAAAAGATTGTCAATAATTTTATGAATAAGCAGTGTTGTTGATTTTTGAAGAAAAATGATCTTTCTTTTATGCATAAGATGCGTCGTTTCAGTTTTCTTTCAGATGGTGTCATGAATATAGCGTTGTGATTGTTGTTTTTTGCTCTTATGAAAGGATAAATTGCCTTACAATAAACAATTTATATACTTGCTAATATCCCACAATATGGAGGATTACAAGGAATATTCCATAATATACATTTAGCCTTGAGGAATTATCTCTATAATTCATCATCTTTAAAAAATTATAACATATTACAATCCCTAAATACAATTATAAAAATTTGTGTAATCAACCCTATCGATTTTTGTTTCTACTTTTGTAGTTTATTAAAAACAAACATTATATTTGTAAACATTTTACAGACTTGATACATTTCATTTATCTGTTTGTATTAAGTATTGTAAATTTGCAATATATGTGTGTTTTTTATATATAAATATTGTATGTAAATAAAAAGCATTTAATTTGAAACATAAAAATATAATTTAAAACGAATAATAAATAAACATCAGTTAATAAACTAGAAATGAATAAGCTTAAAATCAATAAACCAACATGTAATAATTGACAAATCATGCAACATATTTGTTTATTTTGAAAAAAAACATTTACATTGAGATGTAATCCAATGCAAGACCAAATTTGGTATTAGTGTAATAATCGAAAATTATAATATCATATTTGATGTTGCGTTCTTATTTGTTCACCAACATCAAATTAACTCTAGACTCTAGAGCAACCTTATAACTTTATATATCGTTAATTATAAAATTTTAGGGCTGGGTTTAAGATGCCTTTTAACAGTTTTATAAGTGTTACAAGATTTTTGTAGTAAGACCCCAAATGTTGCATTTCCACAACTTGAGTTGTTAACTTGTTTCATTATTTTTCCTTGATGATCGGGAAGCAACTCTCTCAAGCATTTCATCGAACACCTTCCTAACCAAACTAGGAGCAAGCCGATGACGGCTCTTCCCCGTGTCAACTGAAACACATGCAACGATTTGAGTCAAACCACCAACATTGACGCCTAGAGCATCTCTAAAAGCTGAGGTAGAAGCAACAGTTTTGATTGTGATGAAATGCCAACCAAAACCGTAAGCATATTCGGTAACCATCTATCCTTACCACACGCAGTTCTATCGGGTCCAGATGATTGTCCCTTTACATTTAACATCAACGCTCGTTAATGCCAGAGTAGATTGATAGGTTTTATTCTAAAGTGGAGCACAGTTCTTGTTAGACTTTGGGTTTGATTCGGATGTTTGTGTGGCCATTTCTATGGAGAGCATGTATGCTTTGGATTGAAGCCATAATCTGTGCTCCGAAGATGTTTGATGAAATGCCTTAACGAGATACAATCATCTCATCTTGACGAATTTTGTTTAAGGGCTATGGTAGCTCGTACTATAAATTTCTTTTAACCAACTCTTAACGGGTATGAGCAGAAGCAGCTAGTACACCCTTAAAATCTTTATTGCCATGAAATGCATTCAACTTTGGGATTCAAAGTTGAAACCTTTAAGCAGTTATTCAGGTTTATAGCTTCTCATAGCTTTTGTTCATTAAAATCCAATATCCCCACTAATCCAAATCGAAAAACACTTAACCAGCTGCTAAATCAGCGACCACCGTTGTTGCAACTCAAGCAAGTACACGCTCAAGTCATCACCCAATCACTGTCATCATATTCCATTCTGATCGACTCTCTAATCCATTGCTATCTATCAACTAATAGCCTCAGTTTTGCAAGAACGCTATTCGATCAATACCCTGATTATCCCCCACCGATTTTGCTATGGAATCTAGTGATCAGATCCTATTCCAAACTCCAAAATTCTCCAGAACCCATCTATCTTTTTCGCCAATTGAATGCAATTAAAGAGAATCCCCTAATTGTCCCCGACAAATTCACATTCACTTTCTTGATCACGTCATGCACACACCAAAACTCAGAATTACATGGACTGATCGTGCATGGTATAATCATAAAAAAGGGACAAGTACATAATCTCTACATTGGTAACTCTCTGATAAATTTATACGCTGTATTTCATAAACTACACGACGCACGCAAGGTATTCGATGAAATGCCTGAAAGAGACGTCTTCTCATGGACCAGTCTTCTAGGTGGGCATGTCAAGCAAGGCGAAATCACAATTGCCTCTGAAATATTTACAATGATGCCCATACGCAACACAGTATCTTGGGCAGTTATAATTTCTGGATTCCTAGATTGTGGCAGGTATATCGATGCCCTTTCATATTTCCATGATATGCTAAGACAATCTCATGACACAAAAAACCCTAACGAGGCTGTTCTTGTTTGTGCTTTATCTGCTTGTGCTAATCTCGGGGCTTTAGATCAAGGAAAATGGATTCATGCCTACATAGTCAAGACAGCTGTTAACAACACATCTAACATCTTAACTGCTTTAATTGATATGTACGCAAAATGTGGGATGATAGATTCTGGATACCAAATCTTTCACAAGATAGCTCAACCAGATGTTTGCAACTACACAAGCATGATCTCTGGGTTTTCAGCTCATGGTCTTGGTAGGGATACCCTCCAAGTGTTCGATCAAATGCTAGCTGAAGAAATTGCACCCAATGAGGTCACACTTCTTGGTGTCTTAAAAGGATGTAGCCATGGGGGTTTGGTAAATCAAGGTTCTTTGATTTTCCACAACATGGAGAGATTATGGAAAATTAAACCCAAAGTTGAACATTATGGTTGCCTTGTTGATTTATTAGGCCGTGCTGGCTACTTGAAGATGGCTTTATTGATTGCAATCAAGATGCCTTTGGATGCTGATGTTGTTATATGGAGGGCGTTGCTTAGTGGTTGTAGGATATATAAGGACGCGAGTCTTGCGGACAAGATTATTGCGTATGTTGAGCAAGGGTATTGTGGTAATTTCATTGGAAGTGAAGTGCTTCTTTCGAACCTATATGCTTCTTTAAGTAAATGGGAAAGAGTTGGCGAAGTACGAAAAGTAATGAGTGAGAGAAAGAAGGAATCAGAATCAGAATCAAATGTTGGATGTAGTTGGATTGAGGTGGATGGTGTTGTTCATGAATTTCGTGTTGATGACAACTTGCACCCACAAATTGTGAAGCTAAATGAGGTTTTGAAAAGGCAAATCGTGGAGGTTTAACTACTTAACATTATAGTATTGATGTGTTCTCACATCAGTGTATTTAAGTATTTTACTAATTTAAAATTTTAAATTGCGTACTCCTTTTGTTCTTATGTGTATCAACCCTTTCATTTTCCAATCCCAACAATCTTTTCCTTGGTAAGCATTCTTTAATAGTTGCTTAAATAAGTCCCTTTTAAGTGTTGTTTTCTAGATACATGACATTTACAAAAAATTTGAGAAAAATTGAAAAATATACCACGACAAATTTGTAACATGTTAAGATCGAATGAGAAAGCCTATTTTCCGCAACTTTTTCTATTAAGTCGTTCTTTTTACATTACGTCAAAAGAAAATGCATATATTACTTTCTAGATTAAGTCATGATCCCATTATCAACTCCATAGATGTCATAAAAGCAATTAGGATTCTTACCAAGACTTGCGTTCATAACTTCACAACCAGTACAATCTAGAAACTAGTAAGTATACCAATTAAATATCTACCAACATTGCTCGAATCATGGAAATATAAATTGGTTCAAAGAAAAAGATGCCTAAGGAATGACAGATTACAAACATTAACCAAACATCTAGTGTTTGTTATTCAAGGGAGCTGTTAATTTCTTTTAATATTCTCTTGCTGATGAAAAATGGCTTTTGAAGCTCCATTTCAAACGATTAAGGTTCTTGTGGTCTTGTTGAGTCCACAGAAGCATGGCATTACAATTACAAAAACTCATTTACTTCAATAAAAAAAAAAGCATCTATTGCGGTTCTTTAAAGTAAGCACACTAGCTCCTAATTTTCACAAGTTCCCATTTCTCTTTTGGGTTGCTTCATGCTTGGGGTAAATTCAGCATATACTCATACCGAAACAAAAAAGGGGACAACATAACTTTACCTTGTGTGGCATAAACAATATTGGATGTTTTGTCATGATACATGATTGAACGTTATAAATCAAACAATAACCAACATATGAAAATATAGAACGCAAATTTCTCTAAATCCATAATGTACCAATACATGCCTCGCATGAGCAAAATAGCATTCCATAATAATTCATGAGTTCCCAATGTTTAGCATAAACTAATGAAAAAAAACGACAACCTTAGAAGATACCAGTTTAATTAAAAAAAAAGAAAAGAAATACCATGATTATTTGAAAACTAATTAAAATTCTTGCATGCATATGGACTCCAGATATTCCTTCATGGCCTGAACCTCATCAGTGGATGCATCTTCATGGTGCTCGATCCACTTGGTCGCGTCAGCAATCTTGTGCTCCATCATCATCAACCTCTCACTGTAAGCCATATTCTTAATCTTATTTTTCATGTCGTATATGAAATCCTCTAGAGCATTGAATGCATCTACTTTCTTTTTGTATTCTTGGTCCTCGTGTTTGTAGTCTTCAGCATCTTTTACCATCTTCTCGATCTTTTCCTTGGAGAGACTTCTGTTTTCATTGGTAATCATGAGTTTATTCATCTTACCGGTTGATAATATCTCTGCTGTGACTGTGAGGATACCGCTGGCATCTATTTCAAAATAGACGATGCATGTTGCAACTCGTTTTGGAGCCGGGGGTATTCCAGAAATTGTGAACTTCCCCAACAAATGGTTATCCGTAGATTTGGCTCTTTCACCTTGATACACCATGATTTCCCACCAAGATTGGTTGTCTTCGGTTGTACAATAAATTTTGGATATCTTTGTAGGTATTGGAGTGTTCCTTGGGATCACCACGTTAAATTTTTTGCCTCTTACCTCTATACCAAGGGACAAAGGGGTGACATCTAATAACACCAAATCTCGACACCTTTTATCACTGTTACCACTTAACTTTGCAGCCATAACCGCTGCACCGTATGCTACAGCCTCATCGGGGTTTAGGCTCTTGTATAGCTCCTTCTTCTGATTGAAAAGTTTTTGCAACATACATTGGACCTTTGGTATTCTAGTTGACCCACCAACAAGAATCACCTCGTTTACCTCCGGTTTCTTCATCTTTGCATCGCTTAAACATGCCTCCAGAGTCTTGATGCATCGATCAAAATACTCCATGTTGAGGTCTTCAAATTTAGCTCGACTGAATTTCATAGAGAAATCAATCCCCTCATGCAAGCAATCTAGCTCGATAGATGTGAGAGTATCGCTCGAGAGAATCCTTTTTGCTTTCTCACAAGCACATCTCAGTCTCCCCAATGCTTTTTTGTTGGGTGTCAAGTCTTTCTTCCATTTTCTTTTGAATTCCTTAACACAGTGATCCACCATGCGGTTATCAAAATCCTCGCCTCCCAAATGAGTATCACCAGCAACGGCTTTCACCTCAAAGGTACCGAATTCCCCTTCTACCATAGTCAGTATAGAGACATCAAAAGTGCCACCACCCAGATCAAACACCACCACATTCTTCTTCTTTTTCTCTTTCATTTTGAAGGGCTCTTCTAGACCATAAGCAATTGCAGCTGCTGTAGGTTCATTGATCATGCTAATGACGTTGAGTCCAGCAATAGTGCCAGCATCTTTTGTTGCTTGACGCTGTGGATCGTTAAAGTAAGCGGGGACTGTTATCACAGCATCTTTCACGGGTTTTCCAACGTATGATTCTGCAATTTCTTTCATCCTTCCAAGAACCATTGATGAAATTTCTTCCGCCAAAAATTCCTTGGCTTTACCTTTGTAGGAGACGACTATCTTTGGTGTGTCGGAAGGACCTTCTATCACCTTAAAAGGCCACAATTTCTTGTCCTCCTGCACTTTGGAATCACTGAACCTTCTTCCGATCAACCTCTTAGCATCTGAACATTATTTCAAAAAAAATATTAGTTTATAACAATGATCTAAGACTTCAGTGTACTTAAATGTATCAGATTCCGCTGTTGAGTGAAGAATGATTCTTAAAATATGGAATTTCCTTACGCTTAATCATAATAAAATAACAACATTCAATACGATGTATGAAAAAAAAAAGGTTATTACGTACCAAATATGGTGTTAGCAGGGTTGATGGCGGCTTGGTTCTTGGCGCCGTCGCCAATGAGACGTGCTGCATCAACGAAAGCAACACAAGACGGTGTCGTTCTATATCCCTGAGCATTAGGAATGATTTCGATGCGATCATTCTTCCAAACGGCGACACATGAGTACGTTGTTCCGAGGTCAATGCCGATGGCCGGTGCGTCGTCTCCTGTTTTGCCCATTACAGCCAAATTTCAGTATAAATTAATTGTCGCTTTTCATCATTAACTTACCTTATACATTTTGTTTTAAAATTCAAAAAGTTTAATAAGAGATATACACAATCTGATGCATAGTCGATCTTTATCTCCTACTATCTCGACCCCTATCTCCCTTATTTTTAGACCAAATAGTCAATCTATCAAGTGTAACATTTTTCGAGCCCTTGAGCGTTTTTATTTATTTTGAAAATTTTTCATTATTTACCAAACCTTTTTATGATTTAAATTCGACAAAACTGTAAGATTAGTCCCTGTGGTTTTCAGAAAACTTTGGATAGGATCCAAAAAGTTTTCAACTTGAATGAACGATCCAAATTCAATGTTTTTCTGTGTTTTTGGTCCATAATATATTTGAAAAGTCGATTTTACCCTTTTCATTTCTTTTTTCTATTTTTTTGATTTGTTTTGATATTTAAATAGTTAAAAACAAAAAATAAAAACTAAATCTCACCCACCTCCTCTTCACCGTACCCCATTTTCTCTCCCTATCTTTTGACTCTCTTTCCCATCTTCTTCTTCATCACACATCACCTGCAAATCAAAACTCACACAAAATATGAACAAAAAACCCAGAATCTGCAGCAACCTTCTTCTTCAATGAGTTTACCATTCATCGAAATGTATAAAATTATTGTAGAAGCAAAGGCCAACAAAAAAATCAAATTTATTTGCAATTACGCCTAAAACACTTAAAATTAGAACACCAAAATTAATTCATCCTAATTAAGTGTATTATAATCCGAAAAATTACAGTGCAGACACCAAAGTGCATCCCAACACAAACTCTTCAAGCTCTTGATAACCACAAATCGAGCAACAGTAGCCAAATGATAAAATTTCGCAAAATCCATGTTTAAAAACCATTGAAGAAAACCTGTGATGTCCAAAAAAATTGACTTAGTGGGTTTCTTCCATGAGTAGGCAGAAAACACAAAATCAGTGATGAACACGAATCGTAGAAAATGATAAACACAATGATGAATAAGAATTGCAGAAAATCAAAATAAAAATTCTAAACCAACCTAGAAATTTGCAGAAGACACAAAATCAAAATCTGGATTGAAACCCTAAAATAGTCTGGCGGCTAAGGGAAAGAGATGAGTATGTCGCCACAAGTTAGAACATTTCAAGATTTCCGATTTGTTACTAGATTCAACGTTGTCGACTTCATTAAGGTTAAGGCAGGTTTCAAGCTCTAATATGTAAATCCACTGGCTCATAAAGGACGAGGAATGGAGGCGATGAGAGGTAAAATACTCACCGACAAGAAGGGGTGGCGATCATTAGGTCTTCTTGACGGGGTGATAGACATGGAAATGATCTGAAAGTCAATGTCTTTTTGATGAAGAGGGAAAGAACACGAGAAAGAAATATAGGGTGGATGGGGTTTGTAGGCCCATTTTTTTTCTATTTCTTTTTTTTTTAATTATAAAACAATTAATACAAATAAAGAAAATGAAAAAAATAAATAATAAGGGCAAAATAGTCTTTTCAAATTTTCAAGGACTAAAACTAAAGAAAATTCTTGATTTTAGACCTTCCATGGAAGTCGAAAACTTTTTGGAACCCATCCAAAGTTTTTTGCAAACCACAAGGACTAATTTTACAGTTTTGTCTTTAAATTGTCATCTTCATACCAACTAAACAACCTATAATTTAACAATAATATAAAACTAACAAAAAGAACACTAATTCAGCAATTAAATAAATATATATAATCCAAATATAAATTACATAATTAAAATTCAAATGAAACTAAAGCATATTAAAATTGTATGTCATGTCTCCTTGGTCATATCATAGTTTAAATCTTGGTCTAAAGCATCTTCAAACATGTCTGAATCTTCTTATGTATTGTTGAACAGGTCGTCGTATGTAGACTACACCTCTGTAGATTGAGGATTTCAGAATATGACCAAAGGTTCCGCAGAGGGGGTTCTGCGGAACCAAAACGCCTCTGCGGATTCTTTATTGCTCTGAGGATCAGGGGCATTAGGTAAAATCACCCAAAAATTACCCTTTCCTCCTTAGTCAAATGCGGAAGGAAGCTAGGGCAGTCGATTCGCGGAAGGAAGCTGCAGACGTCGGACGGAACGGACACAAAATGTCACGGCGAGCTCGATTCGTGGAGCAACTACACTCCGATGTGTTATCTGATGGATATGGAACTCAAGTAATATTTCAATTTTTTTTCCTAATCTTTGTATAAACTCAGAAGTAGAAATTGATTATATGAATTGGAAATTGATAGGTTAAATGTTATATATAAACATGTATGTTTGTTAGGATGTAAGGACTGAAATTTGTGAAATGAGAAATCTATTTATCCTATTCTTTTCATCATGAACAGATCCTCAAAGGTCCTTTGCAAGAACTGATCTGCAGAGGAGCCCTCTGCGCAACGATATATGCCTTTGCGCAAATGTATTTTTTTGTTTTTGTTTTTTTTTTTTTTCCGATTTTCTATATGCCTTTGCGCAAATGTATTTTTTTCCGATTTTCTAACACTCAACTGAGTTCTTTTGACCCTCAACAGATATGAGACTTAAAGCCTTGGACTCGTCGAGTCCCAGGAACGGACTCGCCGAGTCGGTCACGTCCACATTCTAAATCCTCGAGTTCTGATGTACAACTTTTGATCAAAAGATAGCTCCAAGCTTCTACAATCGATCTAGCATGTAAAGTTACGAACTTTACGTGCTTGCATGGGACTCTGAGCTCAAAAAGACATAAAACAAGCTCTTATGATGCATGGGACCTTTCATGGGTGCAAAAGCAGTCCCCAACTGCCTAGTGACCCCCTTAATGACGTGATTCATAAGCTCCAACCCCCAACCATGTTTGCAATCATGGTTGGCCATAAAAATGGCTTATAAAATCCCTAAATCTCCCCAAAAGGGATCTAACAAATGAAAGAGCAAGGTTACAACTTTTTACCATCAATGAACTATAGAAGGTGCACAAACTCGGGTTCCCTTGGTCTCTACTCGCTTCCTCAAGCTTTTCTACTTCCTTCTTAAAACCACAAGCACCAAAATCCACCAACAAAGCTTAGATTGCTTCAATAACGGCTAGGGTTTCAATGAGAGGTGTTCTGGGAGCATAAGGGACGATATGGCCGACATAACATTGTTTAAATAGGGTGCAAACCCTCGGATTAGGGTTTTTTATTTTTTTATTTTATTTTATTTTATTTTTTCAGACAACGTCTACTCGTCGAGTCCGGGGCCCAACTCGTCAAGTCCATTGCTTGAATCCCGCGTCCCATCCCGCTTCTACTCGACGAGTTGGTCCTTCAACTTGCCGAGTCCAAGGCCAAAATGCAAGATTTTTAAATGATTAATAAAAAGCAAGGTTGCAGAAAACGCTAGACGTTAGCTAGGCGGTGGACTGGGGTCTAGGGATTAATCGGTTAGACGGGGATTAATCGGGGAACATTAATTATTAAAAAAATAATTCAAAAAATTATAAATCTAATTTTAATACTAAGAATATAAGTAAATAAGCATAAAGGTTTAATAATAACTTAATAAGTTTAACAAACACAACCATTTATCATCCAAAATAAACATAAAAGTTTAATAGTAAGTTTAACAAGCACACCAAATCATATCCAACAAGTCCATAAAAGTTTAAAATAAGTTTTAACAACACAACAATTTTCTTCTAATCTTCACCACATACTTCCATTATTTGAACCCCATCCGACTCATATTCGTATTCTTCTAACACTTGATCCTCACTCTCGGACTCGAAATCTTCATCAAAAAGTTCGCTCGTTTTTGGACTTTCGCGGGGTGCTTGACTAACATCGGTTTCAAGAGTTTCATCAACCGTTTTGGGGTCTACTTCGTCTACATCACAATCATCGCAATCAACAATCCATTCTTGAGCGGAGAGAGAATGATTTGATAATAGCACTTCTATGTTTCTATCTTTTCTCTTTTTGTTTTTCTCCATTAAATTAGCATTGAATTGAACATAAACAAGATTGTTCAATTTGCTTGTCTCCAATCTATTTCGTTTCTTTGTGTGTACCTACAAATTTAAACACAACAAAGAGTTTAAACATGCTTAATATTTAAATTTTATAAAATATAAATTTAATGCTTTATATTACTAACCCCTTCAAACGTGCTCCAATTCTTTCACAACCTGATGAACTACTAGTTAAAGAAAGAATCCTCATTGCAATCTTTGTCAAATGAGGAGTTGTGCCACCAAATAGTCCCCACCAACTAGCTATGATTTTGAAACAAAAACACATTATTAATCGATAAATATCAAAATTTTATAAAATAGATAAATAGATAACTAAAAGGAAAACGAATTACCCAGATCAATGTCGGCATCATTCACCTTACAATGTTTAATTGCAAGATCGGAGCCAAATCTATCAACCTTCTTCTTGTACTTTGGCAAGTCAATAGTTACGAATTGCCTTTGTATCTCTAAATCTCCAAGAAATAATGTATCAAAAAAATCAAGAACCGCATCCATTACATCGGGATCAAATTGGAGTTGTGCATCATTATAATGGTAATACGGATTCAAAAGATAAGATGTCAAATGTAAAGTTGAATCTAGTTGACCTTTCATCTTTGTGTTTATGATATCTATAATAGGCTTGTAGTGTTTCTCGTTACCACCCAAAGATTTGATAATTTCTTCTTTTGCAACTTTAATCTCCCCATAAACAAAACCCATTGAGGGATTCCAATCCGCATCAACCATTCGAAGGACTTTCACCAAAGGAGAGAACACTTTTAAACATTGTGTCACACCGGACCAAAACTGGACACTTGTCACCGTTTTATATGAGGCAATCCCTTTAGGCTTACCGGAAAATTTACATTCCTCCCATTCGTTGCTAGAGAACATATGTCTTAGTTGCTCCTTTTTTTCGGACAAACTTTGTAATGTTAGAAAGGCCGAAGCAAATCTTGTGACTCCCGGTCGGATAATTTCCCTTTTGTTGGTGTAACTTCTCATCATCGCCAAGGTTTTGTGGTGAGCGTAAATGAATATGGTTAGTTTCTTTGCTTGATCTAGGATTTTCTTAAACCTTGGGAGTGCTCCGATACCTTGAAAAACAAACACGATTAAATAATAAATTATAATATATAATTAAACATTTTTAAACTACATAAACTACTAAGAAAAATAAAATAATAAATACAATAAATAAATAAAATAATGTAAATACCTTCAAGCATGAGGTTAATGGTATGTGTTGCACATGATGTCCAAAAAATAGATGGTCTTTTCTCTTTTAGCAACTTCGCTGCCCCCATGTTATTTTTGGCATTATCGGTCACAACTTGAACAACATTCTCAGGACCAACTTGTTGAATACAAGATTCCACATACTCATATATGTGTTGGCTTGTATGTGCTTCACCGGAACATTCTTTTGAAGATAAAAAAACGGTACCCATCTTCGAATTAACACATAAATTCATAATGCTTCTCCTTTTTCGATCAAACCAAGCATCCGTCATAATCGAGCATCCATCCTCTTTCCATTCTTTTTCGTTTTTTTTCAAAAAATTTTTTGTTCTTTCAACTTCAAGCTTTAGAAGTGGGTCACTCAAATCATATCTAGTAGGACATGGAAGCCCGGTTCCAAATTGGCCAATAACCTCCACCATCATTTTGAAGCTATCCCTTTCAAAGGCATGAAAAGGAATCGCACTCTCGTATGCCCACCTACTAATAAATTTATGGACCGCTAATATTCTTTCTTTCCGGACAATATTGTTAAGATCAATATTTTTGCTCTTTCCCGCCTTCACAACTTCTTCGGGGTTTATTATGTTTGCGAAGTTATCCATGGGGCCTATAACATTTGGAGCCTTCGACCCCAAAGAATTTTCTACTTCATCCACGCTATCATGCAATTCTTGTCTCGCCTCTACCCTTAAATCTTCAATATGAACTTTTTTAGCTTTTTTTTTCAACTTCCCTTCGTTAAGATAATTCAGACATTTCAATTGATCATCTTTTGTAGACTTTGGACATGAAGATACATTCCCCGTTACATGAGCAATATGTTGTTTCATCCTATAAATCCCCCCACCAAACACTTTTCCGCACAAGGTACATTTCAATCTATCCATGTTGCTTTTATCTGGGATGACACCATATTCCCAACCAACATCATCTGAATTACGTTTATGTGCACCAGTGGCGGTTGATCCAACAGATGTAGTAGATGCATTAGATGCCATTGATTGTCAACTGTTATAAAAAAAAATACATTAACACATTAAAAATTCTCACTAAATCAACAAACTTTGTATCATATCCATTTATCATCACTTCATCTAATATTTATTATTGAGTATATCATGATTATCATCACATTAACACATTAAAAATAGTTGAATACTCACTCACATATCACTAAAAAAATCACATTAACAATAACACCGTATTGGTGTTATTCATATCAGAGGCTCTGTAAACAAGTTTTGTAAACTGACTAAACTCAATCATATTTCCAAACTAGCTTCTAATTAATTTTTAGCAAAAACAACCTGTTCTATAAACTCAATCAGTCAATCTCAGCTCTATATGAAGCAATGATACTGGAACTAAGTAAACTCAATCACATTAACAGAATAACAAGTACGAATTTCGTATTTAATAGGTAGTAAAAATCAAAGAATCGGGCCAAAATACTGGAAACAAGTTGATAAACCAAACAAGTTGATACCGGAATCGGGCCAAAGTACGAATGTTACCCAACTTTCGTCTTCCATGTTTAACAGAAAAATGAGCATATATTTCATCATTAGTTCATCAGAAATCAAATGATTAACACCTCAAATCGAGGACAATAGATAAAATTGAAATTTGATAGCAAAAATCGAGTTTGATAAACTAACCTGTGTCGATTATGAAGATTGTTGCCGAACACTGAATACAATGCAGCCCTAACAGCGGCTCTAACAGCAAAGATGGCGGATTTCACACATTGGGGTTGTAACAGGCGAAGGCGACGACACTATTATCTTCTTCGATTTCATCTTTTAGTCAAGAGAGAAACCACAAAAAAGTTTTCAACTTTTAGTCAAGAGAGAAACCACAACGACGGGAATGAGCGAAGTGGGAACGAGCCCTAGAAAAAGTTATCAGTTTTTACGATTTTGCCCTAATCTTTTTTGAAAATCCGTTGACCGATGTTGACCTATTAAACGCCTAGATCCGATTATCTCCGATTATATCCGATTAGCTCCGAGTTTGACCGGCTTTGACCAGCCCCGATTACACATAAAACGTGGTCGGTTGCAGTCCGCCTAGCGCCTAGGCGCCGATTAATCGGCCGCCTAGGCCGATTTTTACAACATTGATAAAAAGAAATACGTACCAAGAACCAGGTGCTACATTCTTGTGCCGTTTTTCTGAGAGCCTCAAATACTCATCCCATGAGTCCGTCCTATGTTGAATGCTAGTTGACGAATTGTCGTATTTTTCAGTTGGAGGGAAACCTTGCCTACCTCTAGCTTCCCACTTCGGTTGAAAATATGGAAATCGATTCATCTCACTAAATATGCATAGAAAAATTATTTCCTTGTCCGAAGCCGACGTCTAAACTTTTCATCACCGACAAAATAGTATTGTACAAGATGGTTGTGCCCATCCACACGATTTCTCTGTAAAGGGCATTTTCTGGTTTTTGAAGAGGAAGTTTCAACTTTGTCTTCTTGTAGATAAGCGAGCATTATTTGCATAACGTTTTCGATAAACATCGATTCTCACAAAGCAAACTTACCGTGGAACATGATTATGGCGTTTTGAATTTGATATAAAGAATGTAGAGGTTTTTTGTGTTGTGGTATATAATGAAAGTAGTATTCTGTAGTGGAGATAGAGGAAAAAAAATTATAATCCTTAATGTTTTAAAAACCGGTTGTTTAATTGAACCGGTATGGCGACCGATTCCCGGTTTAACTGGTTCGACCGACGAGTGAACCGATTTTTATATTTTTCATGTTTTTTTTTCTATTTTCCTACACATACATACATATATAAATTATGAATTTGATGTGTACAAGTTGAAACATTAAATATACACATAGAAATAAGTTGTAAATGAATCCAAATATATTAAAATAACACATAACCATAAGTTTTAATGTTTTACATCAATTCATATACGCCAAAAAGAAAATAAAATATAATATTGAAACCAAATATAATTTTAGATGAATATAACATCATAAAAAATCTTTATAATATTTATCATAAAACTAAATAGTTTTGAAGAAAAAAGTCATTAAAGTTTATTACGTAAATGATTTTTTTCATATGTTTTTATTCGGTTTAACCGGTTCAACCGGTTTATTTTGACCGGTTCAACCGGGTTTTTTTTAAAGACCTGTCGGTTTAATCCGGTTCAGAAATTAATATAAAACCGGTGATAGTTGAACCGCTCTCTCCACCGGTTCCCCGTCCAATCGGTTCGACCGGCCGGTTCAAACCGGTTTTTAAAACATTGATAATCCTACATGCGTCCAACGGTAAAAAATGAAAGAATGCATGCGGTGTAATCCCACACACCACACTTTGTGGTGCTCCCCACGTCCCGCTCCTACCAGCTCAACCCACCGTATTGTGTGGTGGAAGTAGACTCTTGAGCTTAACTTTGCAACCATTACAATCTAGAAACTAGTATTTTTGTATGCAAAATATCTACCAACATTGCTAACAATCTATAACTAGATTTAAAGAAAAAGATGCCTAAGGAATGACAGATTACAAATTTTAACCCACCATCTAGTGTTTGTTATTCCAAGGAACTGTTACTTTCTCTTATTATTCTCTTGCCGGTGCAAAATGGCTGGTGAAGCCCCATTTATATGATTAAGGTTCTTGTGGTCTTGTTGAGTCCATAGATGATAGATGCTTGGCATGCATAACAAAATTACAAAATTTTAATTACTTCAATACATAATGTATCTTTTACGGTTCTTTAAAGTAAGCACACTAGCTCCGATTTTGCAAGTTCCAATTTTTCTTTGGGGTGCTTTATGCTTAGGGTAAATTCAGCATATATGTACTAATACTGAAACAAAAAACGGATAACATAACTTTACCAAGTGTGGCATAAACCATATTGGACGTTCCATTTTGATACATGAATAAACATTATCAAACAACAACCAATGTTATAAACATAGTATGCAAATTTCTATAAATCCATAATAATCAAACAACAACCACCGTTATAAACATAGTATGCAAATTTCTAGAAATCCATAATGTACCAATATCACATGCCTTGCATGGTTGCATGAGTAGAAGATCGAAATAGCATTCCAGAATTCACGAGTTGCACTGTTTAGCATAAACTAATGAAAAGAAATCACAACCTTAGAAGATACCAGTTTAATTGAGAACTAAAATTCTTGCATGCATATGGACTCCAGATATTCCTTCATTGCCTGAACCTCATCAATGGATGCATCTTCGTGGTGCTCGATCCACTTGGTCGCGTCAGCAATCTTGTGCTCCATCATCATCAACCTCTCACTGTAAGCCATATTCTTAATCTTATTTTTCATGT